GCAGGCTGCGCACACGCAGCTGGACAAGGCCAAGGTCTAGGCTTGAGAAACTCAGCTGTAGGAGGGAAAAGTGGTTCGAGAACCAAAATGACCAGATTCTTGATGTTACAATGAAGTGTGTGTGTGTGTGTGTGTGTGCGCGCGCGCGCATGCATGCGTATTTTTTTTAATTATTAAAAGTACTCACAGTTCAGATGGCACTTATGAAGAAGTCACCAGAAACCCCAAGTGGGAAGCGACTGAAGCTGTAGCAGACAGTCAATGTAAGCGTGTGCTGAGCAGCCAGATCTGCCGTCACTCCGATGCTGCACCGCTTCCCCCTGTCCTGGGGGCCAACATCCTTCCTAGCTACCACCCCGTTTCTCTTTATCTCACACCCAAGCTGCCGCGTCTCCACTCCTGACGCAGACTCTGCCTCCCCCTTGTCAGCATCACCAGTGACCTGCAAACCACACCTGAGATGTCAGGTTGTGGAAGAAAAGGGAACACGGAGGGCCTGTGTCAGACTTAAGACTAGACAGACACAGCCATCAAGTGGGCTGGAAGCTTGCGCTATAGGTATTATCGGGACAACTGGCAAACCTCATTGGGCTTCTGGGTGAAGGGATAGTGGGAGTTCTCTGCCATTCTTGCAACAACTACTTACCCTATATAATAAAGCAGTATTATGCAAATTAACCCACACGCCCTCACAAGATGGCTGCCTACGACCAGGCCGGCAGGGGGGTTAGTGAGGGACAACAAACGACTGAACAAGCAGGCTGCGTGGGGCGACCAGGCCAGTGGGTGTCCATGAGGGGCAACCAGTTGGGGGAGGGGGGGTTTGAGGTGACCAGGCCAGCAGGGGGCGCAGTTAGGAGCAATCAGCCGGACATCCCGAGGGGTCCTGGACTGGAGAGGATGCAGGCTGGGCTGAGGGGATAACCCCCCCCCCATGCCTCTAGTCTATAATCAGGTGTAATATGCTAATTAGACCAGACTTCCAGATGACCTTCCGGGGCTGTGAGGGCCGGGCCCCTTACATGAATGCCGTACATCAGGCCTCTGGTTCGGAAAATAAAGCCAGAGTGGGAGCTGTGAGAGACTCGGGCTTCATGAGGAAGCAGCCGAAGTGGAACCTCTTTCCAAGACATGAGCTACTCCATAGGCCATTTTAGTGAAGGTCTGACTTGGACAGTCGGAAAAGCACTTTGTGGACAATGTTTCTCTTGCCGAGGTTATAGTATCCAACTGCCAAAATGCAGGATAAGGGACTTATGTTCTGGCAGAGAGAATGGAAGTGGCCTAAATCATCTCCAACCTACAGTCATACAGCAGAAAGATAAACTAGTTAAAACTCTCCACAGCCTGAGGATGGAATTAGACGATTCCACTTTGGTGGGAAACGGGTCACTTTAACCTGGGACTGAAATGGCTGTAACAGCCAGGGACGGTCTGAACTCTGTGATGGGCTTCTATAAAGGGGGGAGGGGAGCCTTTGTGTAACAGTATCTTGTACTCAGATGGACATTAAGTCTGAGATGAACTGTTACACAGTAAATAATCCCATATTATTTTTTAAATGTTTCATGCTTTTCAAACCCCTTTTCTCACCCGATTATGCCCTTGAGCCATACTACAGAATTGTCAAGGACTGTTTTCTGTTTTTTTTCTTGACTGGAGTTTTGTTGTTTTTTTAAATATATTTTTATTGATTTCAGAGACCAAGGGAGAGGTAGAGATAGAAATATCAATGATTGGCTGCCTCCTGCATGCCCCCCACTGGGGATCAAGCCCGCAACACAGGCATGTGCCCTTGACCGGAATCGAACCCGGGACCCTTTAGTCCACAGGCCGATACTCTATCCACTGAGCCAAATCAGCCAGGGCATTGACTGGAGTTTTGAGTCCATGTGTTTTACAGTCAATCAGGTGGAGCAAAATTAGTCATATGTAGTGTTCCACAGATCTTTCTATCCCTGTGTAAGTTTCCCTAAACAGAAATTTATAAGAGATCTCAACATATAACTAAGCAAAAGCACTAATCAAGATGGGGAAAATAGACACTTTATAAATGAAGATGTACATTTAAGTTACACGAAGGAGTCCATTATACAGTTAAGTACACCAAGAAATAATCAGACTACACAACACTCACAGGGCAAAGACAAAAGGAGGCTGTGCACTCCTGTTATTTGCATTTCCCCTGGGGTCAGCTGGCAGTCCAGGCCCAAGGGCCCCGAAGACGGAAGTGCCAAGGCTAACTCACATTCCAAAAGCTCTCATGCAGAAAGGCACTCCACTTCATAAAACCCACTCGACAGGTAACCTGGCCATTCATGTTCAGGCGTGTGAAACTGGGATGACACACAGGGCACGTTTCTTATTTTTTATTTCAACATTTAAAATATTCACAGATGTAGTAGTATATTCATTGGCATCTCCATGGAAGATGTACCAAACAAAGCATACAGGTATTCCACAGTTACAGAAGTACATGTGTGTGACTATGTAAAGATTTTACTCCTAGAATTTATCTAGAAAACCACCACTAAAAAACAAAGAAAAACACACACACAAAAAAAACTTTTGAGTGTTTCACTGGATTTCCATAAAAAGTGAAAGACTATCAAGAGAAATACCTAAATATTAGCCAGCACTTTTGTACTATTTCAGACTTTCATATACTCTTTCAATATACCCATGTCATCAGGAACACTTAATTCTCAATTATTTTTCTTTTCCCCTCAATAGCCAAGGCGAAGATGTATATATTTATTTTCATAATCTTTTTTCCAAAAATATTATGCAGAATAAGTTGATCATCACCGGATCTTGACTAGCTAATGAGGTAGGAACAGTCTTCAAAAGAAGTTCTTAAGCATTTATGAAGCAAAACAAAAGAGAATAATCAAATTATACAGTTTTTCCTTTTTAGTGGTTGTTCTTTTAATAAAATGCCAAGAGCATTGGAAACTGGTCACATGCTACTTGTATGTAAAAGTCAGAGAGTAAAACCCCATGAGAAAGCCCTCTGCTGAGCACATGCCGGGGCCGTGGTGGTTAAGTCCATGTTGGCATCACACGGCAAGAAACGGCTGCCCCAAATGCCAAGCTTTCCTTCTGAGTGATCTTACCAAAAAGATAAAGTTTAAACACAAACAAAAGTACCCTTTCTTTCAGTAGGAGTTAATTTGGCTCTTATTTTAACCCAGCTCTCATCCTTCCCTACACACACACCCAAAAAAAAGATTAATAATTTCTATATAGTGCATATCCAGTAGCATTATTTAAATGAATTTAGCAGTCGACTTACCAAATTCTGCCAGAAAAGCACTCCTTATATGAAGGTTTAACATCGTACACTAAACAGCTGGAAAATGCCTGGGTAATAACAGATTTCAGCACCATCTCTCTATTAGCAGGTTGTTTCAAAATGCACACACCCCTTAAATTCCTGTAAACCTAGGAAATCAACAATTATCCCCTCTCCATCTACACCAAAATCAAAGTTCTGTGTTCTAACTACCCTTTCTATATATATATAAGGAATATTTTTCAAATCTACCCAATCAAGTTAACAGGAGTTTCCAAAAAAGGGGAAAGTTATCAATCAAGTATGCATTGTCTAAAAGACATTATTTGAACACTTTGGTACCTATTATTTGATAAAGGCTAAAATACCAGAAAGAGAGTTTCTTTATTTCCCCAATTACATACTGATTAGGGTTACTGCTAAAAACACTAAAAAAAAAATCTAAAAATGTAAAAAAATACTTAGACTAGCTGCCAGATAAATTGATAACTGTATGTGGTTTGGAAGATGGTTTTGAAATCAAGTCCTTGACAATTCTATAAAATGTTCTAGACATAGTTAGCAATCAAACTTGGTATAACAGTGCAACTCTGATATGGCAATAACCAATTACTACTTTACTTTAGCTATCAAAAATAATTTGTCAACAAGCATTTTTTACATCTTTAAACCTTTCTTTTGACTATTCTATCTAGAATCGTGTCCTATCTACATGATCAAAATATCATTAGTTTGCAGAGAATTCTCCCGTCGCCACGGCCTTCTTTAACTCCAGTTACAGCTCCCTTACATCCTTTCCCTAAGGCACACCAGGCCCTGCTTATTGCTGCCAAGGCCCTGAAACCTGTATCTCAATCTATGTCTCTGTCATCGGTTCAGTGAAAAGCCTATAGAGCACCTGCTAGGTTAACTAAAAGAACAAAGCCTATTTCTGAAGCAAAGGCCAAAAAACACGAGTCTATGCTCTTTCCCTAAAAACCAACCACACTGCCTACCCTAACAGTAAAGCTCACGACATCCCTGGCTGCATATACTCCATATTCAATGTTACAAAATAAAATGTTAGGCCAGTAAACTTTCACAACTTTTATTAAATCCTAGTCTAATGTAACAATATCTGATTCTACAGACATCATCCTACGGTGAACATGTTTAATAAGAGAAAGCAAATCAGACATCTAAGTCATTATTTTCTGCAGACTAAGCAGTAAGATAACTACTACACAGAACACTACAGGTCATGACATACACTTACTTGCTCAGTTTTCACACAAGCCATATTGTTTATCAAACTATGTCTCCTAATATTTAATACAGTAGAATTAGTGATTGTAGTTCTCATATAATATTTTAGTTACAAGTACCTTATTGAGATAACTAACATTTAGACAGTTTCACTGACTTTCCAGATTAGCAGAATATATTCAAGAAAAAGCAAAAAGTAAAATGAACACTGAACATGACAAGTTATAGAAGGAAAATGAAGTAAAGATAAAAAGGGAAGTGAAGTATCAGTGGGGTTGAAAATCAGTCTAGACATTTGTTTAGAAGAATCAACTATGGATTTCACAGATCAAGTTTATAAATTCAATACAATATAAATCCTTTTGAATGTAAAAGCCGCATTGAAATTAAAAGGTCTATAAACTGTTAACTTTTGGCCTTAAATAGTACCAATTCTTCTGATCAAAGAAGGCCACAACAGTTAAGATTGTATGACTTGATTTTATTTTACACTAGGTGGGCACAAAGCAACCCCCTTAATAAAGTTGACAATTAGCTTCACTCAGAACGTTTTTAATAATGCACATTAAAAAAAAAAAGTATTCTTACAAATTGTTCTGCAATCCAAATATACAATAGCCTGGAAAACAACATTTAAAAAACAAAGCCAATGTAAAAAGACAGGTTAAAACAACTAGGACAGTACAGGTTATATGGCTCAGATTTTACAGTTTTCTCACTGCATCGTCAATGTCAGAAATCTGTTCCTTCAGCTGGCTCCATTGCTCAGGGTTTAAGGAAATACCTAAAACAAAGTTTTAAAAATCAAAAGTTGAAAATGTATTTAAGCTTTCCTGAGGGTTTTTAAACTTCCAAATAAAATACTGTTTCATCAAAATTGCTATTTTTGAATGGCACAATGATATAATATTGACAACAAGCTATCTTGTTAACTATAAATTCATCATGATTGCCCGGGATGATCGATGTTATATCTAGTTTTACTTCCCACACTGCATCTGCGACACATACTAAACTGAGAACAAACAATGACTTGAAGCTTAGCTCACAAATGCTTGCAAATGAGCAATTCCAGTGGCCAGGTCGAGGGTTGGTGTGTGACACCCATTCATTTCTACATTCCGTTGGCTCCAACATTTGTTCCCAATTCCCACAGGAGCTCAGGTGAATGGCTTGTACGGAGTTCTCCCAGAAGCCTTCATTTCACTTTGGGAAATCCCTGGGATGTGACTTCTTGGAAGGTACAGTCGAGAGACTGGATTCAAATCCCAGCCTCACTGTCACTAACTACATGACTTCAAAACAATTACAAGTACCTCTGAGCCTAAGTTTTTTGGCTGATTTGAATTATAAGTTTGGCATATCACTGGGCACATGTAAAATTTAAAATGTTAGCTAATGACATGTCTGTCCTATTTAAAGTATGAGCAGGAAGAACTTTGTCCTTTAAACTTCCAATATTCTAATATCTGACCCATACAAATGGAGAAATAAACTAGAATTGAAGAACTGATGGATTTCTCAGGAAACTGCTGGGAGGCCATAAACGGAGAGGAAGGAGAACGTATTGGGACAACACCTAGGAAGGGCTTTCCAGCTCATCTTACTGGTTAGTAATCGCTGCAGGAAGAAAAGAACTCTGGCATTGGCCACAATGGAACAGCTAGACTGCCCAATCCCAAAGTGGGCTGGACAACGGAATGAAACCATAGACATTAAGTTTACTAAACCTACAAACCACAGGAAGGAAACAAGTCATACCTTACAAGATGACATGCAGGCAGAAGAAAACAGAGGCATTTTTCATTAGCTTGGCACACAAATGTTCTCTAGCTACTTGGTGAATTAATACACATGCTGCGCCTGGCTGGTGTGGCTCAGTGGTAGAGCACCAGCCCATGGACCGAAGGGAGGGCTCATGCAGTGGGCAATGAATCAACGTGCCTCTCTCACATCAATGTCTCTCTACCCCTCTCCACTCTCTAAAGATCAATGGGAAAAATAACTCGGGTGAGGATAACTAACTAAAGTATGCTTCTATGATGCTGGATGAAGCACAAAAGGAAGACAAAAACCCACTTAGAGGACACTACCCTAAGAATACCCAAAAGGGAACACTGTGAACCAGGATTTCCATTCATTTTACAGCTTCCCAGGCAGGGCCTACTCTACTTCAGAATTAATGTAAAAATAATTTTTAAGTTATATTCAAGTACATTAGCAGCCTTACAATTCCGCACAATCTAACTTCTTTCTCGCCTCAAGGTATCTGCACAATTTCCTCTACTTTGAAAATGATTCCCTCTCCCATACAATTCACATGACTAGCTCTTCCTTTATCTAAAGTGTCAAATGACACTTCCTTAGGAGATTCCCAGAGCACTTCTCCTCTCATAATCTGCCCTTTTACTTCTCAGCCCTTATCATTTAATTATATATATGTTTATCTGCATAATTTTTTTAATATATATTTTTTATTTATTTCAGAGAGGAAGGGAGAGGGAGAGAGAGACAGAAACATCAATGATGAGAATCATTGACTGGCTGCCTCCTGCAGACCCCCAATGAGGATCGAGCCTACAACCCAGGCACATGCCCTGACCGGGAATCAAACAGAGACCTCCTGGTTCACAGGTCAACGTTCACAGGTCACTGAGCCACGTTGGCTGGGCTCTGCCATAATTTTATCCTCATTAAAGTTAAGTGTTGCCCTGGCAGGGTAGCTCGGTTGGAGTATCGTCCCATAAATCAAAAAAAAAAAGGTTGCGGGTTCGATCCCTGGTCTGGGTATGTTCAGGAAGCAACCGATCAATGTTTCTCTCACATCAATGTCCGTCCTTCCTTCCTTCCTTCCTTCCTCCCTCCCTCTCTCTAGAATTCACAGAAACATATCCTCAGGTGAGGATTAAAAAATAAGAAGTATCATTACCAAAAAGACTACAGAAGATAGTGAACCAACCCAATGAGGATCTTCCTAGTGCACTGACAACATTATTTCATTTCAAACTAGGTCACTTAATTTTTAATTTAGTCCCAATATTAGGATCAAATTCAGGAAATCAAATCTCACCTTTTCTTCCTGGTTTCATTTCACCTTCTTGATCCATCCAATATTCTCTAATATCAATTAGGACTTTTCCTTTAAAGTCCCGTACGCTGACGTACCTCATTTTCCCAATCTGCAAAAGAAACAGAACATAAAAAAGTATTTATTTATAAGTCCATATTTATATTCACAACTTACTGCATACTCACTACTCTTTTAATCACAAAAATAACTACTACTATCAATATCAAAACTACAATCCAAAGGAAATGTCACTATTAAAAAAAAATCTTTGTAAATGATGGAACTAAACAAGCACAACTCACATTTCTAATCATTTTACATTAAAAGAATCATTAGCAAAATAGTGCAACCGCTACGGAAAACAGTATGGAGGTTCCTCAAAAAATAGAACATATGACCCAGCAGCCACTTCTGGATATGTACCTACAAGAAATAAAAGCAGGATCCTGAAGAGGTATTATTTGTACACCCATATTCTTAGCAACATTACTTACAATAATGTTTGGGATAGGGCAGGGGTGGGCAAACTTTTTGACTCGAGGGCCACAATGGGTTCTTAAACTGGAATATTATTCAGCTTAAAAAGAAAGAAATACGTTCACATGCTGCAACATGGATGAGCCTGAGGCCATTATGGTAAGTGAATTAACAAGTCACCAAAAGGTATAGATTGTATGATTCCACTTATAAGATGCCTAGAACAGTCAGATTCCACTCTGAAATTAATAAATATATATGTATTTTTAAGTGTAAGTATCTTAGGCGGCTATGGCACTGAACTAAACATTTTCATTGGAATATTATTCAGCTTAAAAAGAAAGAAATACGTTCACATGCTGCAACATGGATGAGCCTGAGGCCATTATGGTAAGTGAATTAACAAGTCACCAAAAGATATAGATTGTATGATTCCACTTATAAGATGCCTAGAGCAGTCAGATTCCTCTCTGAAATTAATAAATATATATGTATTTTTAAGTGTAAGTATCTTAGGCGACTATGGCACTGAACTAAACATTTTCATTTTGGTTTTACAATAAGCCTAAGAGCTTGTTGAATAGATACAATTAAATCTACGGAAAATCTACTAAAATAATTTTGATTATTAGATAAGTCAAATAAAAGTTCAATGTGGGCTTGAGCAAGTGGAAGAAACTTTAGGTGATAGGATTTGACCTTGAAAAGTGATCAGCCATTAAATAAGTAAAAAGGAGAAAAAAGTGACAAAGACATAGAAGGGAGAAAGCAGAAAGATACAATACTGATTTTCAAGGGCAGGCTGACCACATTGACCTATACTGCAGAGGACTTGAAAACACAGGAAGAAAATTCTGAAGCCTGTATAGGTTCTTAGATCAAGGACAAAAAAATAAAATAAAATAAACAATCAGAAAAATACTACTACTACTGCTTGTCTTCTGCAAGACTCGTCTTCCTGAGAAATCAGAAACCTGCAAAGAATTTAAACTCTCACTAGAAAAAGTAAACGTATTTTAAAAGAGACAAGCAATGATCACAAGTAATTGAAGAGGTAGAAAACTGTTGCCGATTTGCAGTTTAGCCAGTGACAGCGTTCCCGAGGCGGTAAAGTGTGGAAAAATGGAGATGCTGCCAGCTGACCTCCTGTAAGGCACCTGGAACAAGTGCTGAAAGGGCTCCTTTAAGGCTGGGGTGGGGGTGAGGGGGGTGTCGATACATTAAGAAAGGAAGTGTTTGTTTATAGACTAACCAGCACATTAGCCATGTACTGTACATGAAAAAGGCTAAAGCCCTAACCGGTTTGGCTCAGTGGATAGAGCGTCGGCCTGCGGACTCAAGGGTCCCAGGTTCGATTCCGGTCAAGGGCATGTACCTTGGTTGCGGGCACATCCCCAGTAGGAGGTGTGCAGGAAGCAGCTGATTGATGTTTCTCATCGATGTATCTAACTCTCTACCTCTCTCCCCTCCTCTCTGTAAAAAAAATCAATAAAATATATTAAAAAAATGCTAAAACAGGGATTCATTTGGGGTCTGGAACAAATTAATTCAATTTACATTCGTTCTAATGAGAAAAAATGATTTGGTTTTCAAACAAATTGGGTCTCCAACAGCCTTCTGAAACAAGTTAGAGAACCGAGGTTCCAGTGTACTTTCTAATGTGCAGTTCTCAATCTCTTCTTTTGGATTTCTATAGCTTTTAAATTCACATTGTTTTAAATACAGGAAAACTACAGACTTCTAGGTGTTAGCAATAACCTAGCACCATATAGGGAGCATTAGAGGTATTGCTCCCAGGCATGCTGTCAATTTTGGCTCAAATTAAACCCGTTAAAAAATTTTTTCAGCATCATATAAATTACTTTCATTTCTACTAACTTGTTCTTGTATTTCAATGAATATCCTTAGTCAAGAGCACTCTAATGTACATAAAGATTGTGCCTTATTAGATTAAGGCGCTCTGATCGTTCTTCAGGTCCAGCCAGAGAAGAAGTCCTCTGGACCCAATAACCAGCCTTACCTGGAACATGTTGTCATCCCTGCTGCTGCTGCTCTGTTTAGAAGACGACAGGGCTCTTGAAGTCTCACCAGTCTTTTGCTTCTTTACAGGCTTTTCTGAAGCAACTTGCTTTTTCCTCTTTAACTTGAAAAAAATATATGAATATGGTTAAAATTTGCACACTTAATAAAACACTTCTCAGGTTTATGGACACAAAAGGGGGGGGGGGCATGTACAAGTTCAGTGACCAACAGGAACCTCACAGGATGATCTGACCATAGATCCCTAGCTGGGCAGGTCAATGCCTGTACCTTTTAGTACAAGATGCATCTTTGCATGAAGCCCTGTCCACTGTTTCTGAGCACCTGGGTGCACACACCCTTGAAAGGCCTAGTTTTCAGACGCCTGGGAGCTTCAGCACCCGCAGAAGAACACAGTCTTGCTAACTGCCCTGTAAGCCAATCCCAGCCTCGCTTTCCACGTAATCTTCCTTGTTTCCTTCGTAATTCCAAACGTACAAGAGAACGTGCAAAAGTGTCCTTCTCCAGAGCATTAGGTCTTGCTTCCCAACAATGTCATCAGTTTGGCTTAATTAACTCTTATAAAAATTCACTACAAGTTTAGACATTTCTTACATGGACAGGTTCAAGATTCCAATACTTTTTAATACTTAAAGGACCAAAAGTCTGCATTTACTCATTAAATAAAAAATATAAACTAGCCAAGATCCACCTGACAATGAAACTTTGAAACTAACCTAACACTGGTATATAGTAGTTTTTGCAAACAGTTCTGAGGAGCCCAAAAAATACTTTAGGCATTAGAGTGGTATTAAGCAGAAAAATTTATTTTGTAGATCAGAATCCCTCGTAAGGTTTCTTTAGAACAACAAAAAAAGATGAGGGGCCTAATGTTTTTGAATAAACTTTTGGGAACCACAAGTCTACTAAAGCTACAAAGGGGACATGCTAACTAGGAAGAATGCAACCAACTTATTCCATTTCTAGGATATGATTATCTATTTATGCTCTGCCTATTCCAAGAGACATACTGGCTTAGGGAATCTGAGTAGGCAAAACTAAGAAATCTATTTTGTACTGCGCACAAGTCAACTCTAAAACGTCCTCATCACACAAAAAAATCAACTAAAGATAGACAGCAATGTATTAGACTAGCATTCAAAAGCAAAACAATGTTTTAAAAGCAGCATCATTGCAAAAGCTTTTTATACAATCTGTCTCAAAATGAGGTAACAGCCCATGAAAACCAGTAGAGTTCCCAACCCAAACAGTAGAGGGCACTCATGTTCCTTAGTGGAAAGCCTAACCTAGTATGGGGTGGGCAAAAGTAGGCTTCCAGTTGTAATAATGAATAATGCAACTAACAAATAATAGCGCAATAAACTGTTTCATGTATTCACAACTGGAAACCTACTTTTGTCCACCCCGTATATTAATTTACTAATTTAGATGAAGCTAGACATAACATAATGTATACAAACAAAAAGAAATGGATGTATTTAACATATGTCCTTAGGATTAATAGTACTATTTGGGCCCTAACCAGTTTGGCTCAGCGGATAGAGCATTGGCCTGCAGACTGAAGGGTCCCAGGTTCGATTCCGTCAAGGGCATGTACCTGGGTTGCGGGCATCTCCCCAGTAGGGGGCGTGCAAGAGGCAGCTGAATCGATGTTTCTCTCTCATCGATGTTTCCAACTCTGTATCCCTCTCCCTTCCTCTCTGTAAAAAAAATCATTAAAATATTTTTTTTTTAAAAAATAGTACTATTTGGGACAATCAGCAAAAATTAACTCTGCTCAAGAAGCAAAAGCAGCCCTGACCAGTTTGGCTCAGTGGATGGAGTGTTGGCCTGCAGACCCAGGTTCGGTTCCGGTCAAGGGCATGTACCTTGGTTGCGGGCACAAACCCAGTGGGCTGTGTGCAGGAGGCAGCTGATCAGTTTCTAACTCTCTATCCCTCTCCCTTCCTCTCTGTAAAAAAATCAATAAAATATATATATTTTTAAAAATTATTCTTTACATCAGGGTCTGTATAGATAGTCCCTGTGGACTGGTACATGCCTGACACACAAAAGCTCAATAAAAATACGCTGAATGAACGTATTCAAATGCTCTGCTGGTGTAATAGAGAGATTCCCTACTACAGTACATATATTCTCTGAAGCCTGTTTCACTCTTCCAGATGATATCATGTTCTGTATTTCCCTATGAAGATCCATCTCCCCCAAACTCCCCCTTAAGCTCTCTCTTAACTGACACTGCCACCTAGGCTCGGAGACACCGCTGCGGGAGCTTCTAGGAGACAGAGGACAGTGCGTGGAAGGCAGACGCGATGAAGTGCGAGGTGCTCAGCGAAGGAGAACAGTGCACCACTCACAGTGCAGCTGCCATCTGATGCGGAAAAAGCCTACTCTGCCTCAACAGGCAATTTCACGTCAGCTATGCTGGGGGCTAAAAGGAGGGAACCAGAGTAAATAGCATTCTAACTTAAAATGCACCAAGCCTACACTTTAACTAATACTGTGGGCTGGATAAACACCAATGACTGAGACAGTGGTCAAAATTGACATGTGCATTCAAGGAGTACAGATAATTTGGATCAATTACTTCATACAATAGCTACAGATTAAGGCCATCTCTAAATAATGGCAAACAGTGACTTTGGCCTAATTCTAATGCTATTCCTCTAGGGCAGCGGTTCTCAAATCTGTGGGTTGCGAACAATGAAAATACATCCTGCATGTCAGATATTTACATTATGATTCATAACAGTAGCAAAATTAGTTATGAAGTAGCCACGAAAATAATTTTATGGTTGGGGGTCACAACATGAGGAACTGTATTAAAGGGTCGCGGCATTAGGAAGGTTGAGAACCGCTGCTCTAGGGTCTATGGCAGTGGTTCTGCAGGTGTAGGGCTCCTCACAGAAGTCAGTCTGAGGCTGGCTGGAGTCTGATTTAGGGGCGAGGGGTGTGCATGGAGCAGCACCCTCGGCATCAGTGAAGTGAAGATCCAGGCCACCCACACTTTCAGAAACATCCACCCTGTCTCTCACTGTAAGATTCCGACACACGGTGCTGTCCCTCGGAACTGGATATGGCAATGCTGCTGAAGGAAGGACTACAGAAATGACCTGGTGCAGTAACAGTCACCTTTTTGTCAACTTCACTGTCAGAATCGCTGCCAGAAGAGCTTGAAGAAACAAGTTCCTTTGATTTAGGCATTCTGAAAGAAAAACATTTTATGTAAGTAATTTACAGATTGCTCTATTACATTCATTTTAACTCTCCCCCAACCAAAAATTTAAGAAGTTCCATGTTCATGCTACCATTTTGTGGTACTGGAGTTGTTATACTGAGGGAATGCTAGAAGTTATATTCTAATCTGTGCTCTTCCAAGCTGAAGATAA